TGATTTAATAGTATTATACATTAAAAATAACCTTATTCTCTTTTTATTATTATAGAATTTACTAGCGCTCTCCTCCTTTACCGACTATTATTATCTGAAAATTAAATAGTAATAATAGTACTAAAAGTACTAAATTAAAAGTAACCGCTAAGGTTAGTATAGGGGGCGCTGTTCTTTAATTCTCTAAAACCTCCGGACTTATTAGAATCCTTATTGGAATCGTTAAAGTTTCTACTACCTAAAATAGTCTTTCTAGTAGCGTTTAGTTCAATTTTTAAAGAGGCTAATAAATATTTATTATTTTTTTTGAAGCGTTAATTCTCTACGAACGCCTATTAAAATCTAGCGTTAGAAGAATAGAAGGACTAATTAACCAGAGGGTCGGGGTTATTATTAGCGACCTTCTTAAATAAATCGGCGACGATAATACCGAAACGGTCGGCCTAACTCTCTATAACTTAAAAGTCCTTATTAATTTAATTATATAATTTAATGAAATTATGAAATTATTTAATAGTAACTATAAGGGAAGCGGTACGGATACGTATTTCTAAAAATATAACCTTAGGGGACGCTTCAATTAGAGTAATAAATTATTTATAAATTATGGGACTATCAAAGGACTTAACTTTAATATTACCCTTACTTTCGGCTATTATAGGGGTAAATAGTATAAAAACGTTATTATTATAATATAAATATTTAAGGAGGCTAATAAAGTACTCTTTTAAATCCTGAATAAAAACCTCCTTATTAACGAAATGATAAATATAGCAAACCATAAACTAAACCTAATTAAAATAATAATTATACAATTGTTCGGGAGCGAAGCGCAATAGGTCGAATTTATTATCGTTATTACTAGCATTAATAATAAAAAATACAATTCCCTAATAATTTAGGGCTGTAAAAATCGTTAGAATTAAGGGGTTTATATTAAACCTCGGAGGGGGGTAATTTACCGTCCTTCGGTATATATTTCTTGAGGATATTAGGGTCGAAATAAACGCGGTGCAATTATATAACCTTAATATTATCGTAGGCTATCGTAGCAGAACGTTTTCCTTAAAGCTTCAAAATATTCAATAATTAGCGACCTAATCAGTAATTGTTTCTACTCTTTTTCGGAGGTCTCTTTTCTATTGAAAAGGTAGGGGGATCGTAATATACTAAATATCCGGTCTATATCTTACACTATCGTTAATTCTAATCGTTAATCGCTACGTTACTACGTCGTAGCTTTTATCTCGATCTCTTCTTTCAAGTAGAATATTTAATACCGTCCCCAATAGAGAGAAATGAATTGTAAATAGTATAAGAGCACGTAACGAGCGAAGCAATACTACAGCATTATTAACGTTCAATATAGAATTTACAACTAAAGAGTAAAATAAAAGGTAAGAGTTGTACGCGTAGCTCGGGCTAGGAAATATACTCCTAGAGCCGGACCCGCTATAGCCCACTCTTCCTCATCTAATCTACAACCAATCAACTCAATCGTATCCGTACAATACATTCTAGTGCAGTGCTCTGCCAAGACATAACCCGTCTAGCTGAGCCATGACATTAATTATATTATTCTTATAAATAGCCTTCTCTTTCTCAATAATAACTAACCTATACTCTAGGGAGGTATTATCTTTGAGAACCTAATTATATTAGTTCTGAAGGACCTTCAATTGATCTACGAACTATTTTTTAATACTCTCAAACTTATCAATACGGCCGGTAATTACTCCCATCTCCTAGCCGGTCTTTTAAATATAAGCTTCGGTATTATACTCGTAGTCTCTAAACTTCTTCTACTCGGCTATAACGTTTTCGTCGAACCGTTTAATCTTTGTATTAAAATAATATAGAAGCTTTATAACTTCTTCGTACCCTTTAACTTCATTTATAAAATTAGGTAAGACCCGAAGGCTAATATTAGAATTATTAATATAAATTGCAAATAACGTACCAAAACCTTCGAATAATAAAGGAAATATTATAGCAAGGTTAATTTGACTGTCACTATTATAATTTGTATTACTAAATATCCTGTTTAAATAACGACTAATTGACAATTTATTAATAATAAAAATAAAGAAAGAGATGTTCTTTACCATATTGTACGATACGATAAATGTGCCCTCGTTATTTTGAGTATTTATTTACTCGTCTAGAATTAATGTCGATTATCAATATTAATATTTAGAGCTCTCAGCTCGATGCTAGCGATTATGTAGATCGCTAAAGAGTGAATTTTACGTAAACCAAATTATTATATTAACCTCTATTAAGCTTAGTTCGACCGAAATTACTTATTATACTTTAATACGAAGGTAGGTACAATAAAGTATTACAGGGCGCGAGCAAGTACTAAGGTAAGACTTTAATTATTGTATAAGGAATAGGAACAGAATCCTGTGCGCGTACGAGAACTATATAAGGCACGCCGTGTGTAGATCCAGAACACGGACTATAGTACGGGTGTACGTAATTATTGTACTGTACTTAGGCAGCTGTACAGTTGACTGTACTAATGTAGTATAGTACCCTATATTTATATATAGGAACATAGCAGTAATGCCTGTAACATAAGGTACGTAGTTGTATCGAAGTAGCTAATAATAATAAAAATAATAAACTAGGGAGATATTGGGAAGCGAGGGTACGAAAGTAAAGGGTAAGAGAGGAGGTAATAAGAGAGGCGGCTATCGAAATATTATCAACTTTATTCCTCTCCTCCCTCTCTAATAAACTTTCTGAGTTAACGTTACTCTCTTCAGAACTAGAGCTTTTAAATGAGTTAACTTGCCGACACGCACCAAAAACTTACAGACACGTACCCCCACTAAAAAAATGGGGCGGTTCAGCTGATAATACCTGATATTGTAAATCCCGTTTTTACCCGTAAAATTTCGTCTTTTCAATACACGCAACATCGCTCTACCTTAATCATTTCTTTCACTCTTTTTCACACAGCCAGTTGCACCAACACTTTGTACACAGCTGCACCACTAATTAGCGCTAGTACTCCAATAATCCACACACATACTAGCACTCTACACATATTAACAATACCCTCAACGTACGTAAAGTCGTTACATTTAATTAATATTTATATTAATTAATTATTGTAAATACCCTCTTTTAGTAAGTACCCTCGTATATTGGGTGCCTAGCGCCCCCGTTGTATATTATACTCCTTAATCGAGACCTTCGCCTCTAACGATACCTTCGACCCTTCTATTACTTAGTCTATCCCAATAAATAATCCCTTCTTTTCTCTCAACCCTATTAGTAATTATAATAAATTATTTACTTACTTTATTAATCTTTACTATCGTTACCGATTTAGTATAATTACCCAACGTACTTAAAAGTTTAAGAAGCCAGGCTACGAAGAAGATAGGACCGTTATTAAATAGGTATACCGCTACAATTATATAAATTACCGCCTATTAATCGTTACTAACGAGCATTTAAAGTAATAGTCTATATTATAAAAAAAGGCGCGCTACTATCCCTTTAGAGTAGTACTCCAAATTAAGAAGCGTATAAGGTAGAAGTAGATTGCTTAGGCTATAAACATAATATGTAAAGGCTACCCTCCATTATATATATTAAAAGGCTACATTATATTTCGTACTAAAGTATAGGATTATAAAGTTAACCCGGAAGCGAATCGCTTCCTTAGTAACCTCTCATTACAACGGGACTTTACAATACGGATAATCCTTACTACAATAAAAAAAAAATTCCCTAAAATTGCTTATAATTACAACAACCTCGATAATATACGACAGGCGGTATAGCGTAATATAAAGTAGGGGTACAATAATATATAATTATTTATTAAGCGGTTAAATAATAATTTCTAGAATAAAGCTCTCTAATATATCTATTTAAACTTTGAGGGTAAGGATAAGGATAAAGATATATTGCGCTACGCATTCTAATTAACTAACCACCAACGCCGGATATAAATAAAATTCCTATATACTATCCTAATCAACGCTACGTATAAAACCAACCGTTACTATCTCCCCTATATTTAAGGAATAATCCTTACCCTAAAGAGAACCTTTATACTAATCTTTTAAATAATATTTAATAACGAAAGGGAGGAAGGGTTTAGCTTCTTAATCTAATATATTAAAGAAGCAGCTAATAAGTTCAAGATCCTTTACCCTACGGTAGTTATAACCGACGGTAACCCCTAGTTTATTAGCGCGATCGATAAAACCTTCCTTAATATACAACAACAATATTATATATAGTACATTAATTGTAACGTTATTAACCACTTTAAAAAAGATTAGGTAGTATAGCTAAATTATAACAGGGAGTGACGTAATAAAAACGATCTTAAAGATTTAAAACGGCGCAATACCCGGGTTATAATAACTATTAGAACTAAAGCGGAATTCGACCCCTTACTAAATAAAATTACTAATACAAAGTCTATACTATTCTTTGTATAATAGTATATAGTCTATTCCTCTAATATTATAGAATTCGAACGGACTTAGTCTATTCTATATTGCCAATTTAGGAGCATACAAGAAAATATAGTTTCGTAGATCGAAGAGAAATTTATACCTTTTAAAGCGGAGTAGGTAGACTACTTTACTAAATATTATTTCAATTAAAGGTAAAGAATAATATTACTAAATAAGGCTAATAATAGCTCCCTCAAAGATTATAGTCTATCAGCTCGTAGCAGGTTAATTAAACTCTATAAAGCTTATCTCTAGCACGTAAATCACTATTATAAGGTACATATCGATTTATTAACTAAATTTAATAGTTATATATATATAAAGTGGGTTAACCGCGAGTAGATAAGTAATTACCCGTATAAATTATTTACGTAAGTACTTAATCTTATAGATTACTAATACTATAAACTTAATACAATATTACCCTCTATACAATTGAGGCTCCCTAGTACCCCTTTTGAGCCTTATATAGGGAGCTTTAAAGCCTAGTACAGATTACCTTATACCTATAAAATGGAGGTATTATCAAAGGATAAGGGTAAGATAGCCTTAGTAATTAAGGAAGTTTACTATTTATTTTAGTACTTACATTAATAATATATAAATTATTATTTATACTCCGAATAACTCTTATACTAACTACTATATTAGAATGCAGTAAATAGATATCTTAAATTCAAATTAACTGCTAGAGTAATACCTAAAGGCCGCTTACGTAAGTAAGGGGGGCTATTTAATAAACCTATATTCATTATCCCGCTAGCTAGGTTAAGGAAGGCCAAACGTATATTAGCCGCGCTAAAGGTTATAATTACATAACCTAAGTACTATTCGAGCTTTAGCGTATTATAATTATTTTTAATATAAGACGGGGCCTAATATTGAGGAGCTTAATACCTAAAATAAAATATATAATTATATCGAAGTAATTGATAATAATAAGGAGGATAATAAATTAGGGGGATACTGGGAGGCGAAGGCAAGGGAGTAAATAGCGAGAGAGAGAAAGGGAGAGAGGGAAAGGGAGAGGGAGGATAATACTATTAAATTATCATTAGACTCCTTCTACCTCTCTAAACTATTTAACAAACTCTCTAAATTCTCTAATCTACTATACGTAAGCTCTAAACTATTAAATATAAGTATTTAAAATAGAATATACTATAATAAGAACTATCTTAAACCCCTCAACTCTATAAAAAGTATTATTAGATTGGCGCTATTAGATTTGCTTGCCCGCTGAAGATCAAAATTTACAAGGCATTTACTGGGTTGACCTACATTAAGACATTGAAAATCACAATTTTTATACCCAAAACGACCTATTTTACATATCGGCTATTAGATCCAAAAAGTGCGTGCCTGTAAGTTTTTGGTGCGTGTTGGCAAGTTAACTCTTTTAAATATAAGTGTTTAGAATAGAATAGAGTAGAGTACCTTTAATATTATATAAGTATTACTATATTAGATTAGCGCTATTAGATTTACTTACTTCCCGCTAAAAGCTAAATAGTATAGGGTATTTACTAGGGATTTATTGGGTTGACCTACTTTAGGATATGAAAAATCACGATTTTTACAGCCAAAATGGTATATTTTACATGTCAGCTATTGGGCTGCAAAAGTGGGTGCGTGTAAGTTTTTAGGGGGTGTGGGCAAGTAATCTCATTATATACTAGAGGGTGCCCTTTATATATATAGTCCTTCATTCATATAGTATATCAGTAATCGTTTTTCTTAAGGAACTGGACGATAATACGGAAGGGGTAGTCGGGCGCGAACTTTTTAGTAATTATATATTACTTTTTATATAGGTTTATAATTATTAATCTTAATAGTTAAGCGTAAGTATAGTAGAATACTACGCGTTAGGGAGTTTTTATACCCGCTTACTACTTTTTAGAATTCTTAAGAAAATAATCGGTACGCTCTATTAAAATACTAAAGCAATAGCAACAATATATATTAAGAACGGTGAGGTACGTACTACTAAAGGAGTTTTAAGGAGGGAGGGTAAAGATCGGGTCGTTAGCGGGTATAGCCTATTTAGTATCGCGGTTAAATAAAGCATCGCTTGCAAAGGTAACTGTAAGGGATCTACGAGGAATACACGCAGGTAGGCCTTAAAAGGAGCTTAAAATAATTGATAAAGAGGAAGAGGGAAGTTTGTACCAGTAAGGTATACTCGTCAGGTCTACAAAATCGACCGTCAGACTAGCGGGCAAGCTACTAGTTAGGGACATTAATTCGTATATGGATATTGATTCGTACCTGAAACTGGGGGTGCCTCCCTACACCGCCATTTTACTAGCAAATAAAAGTAAATCTAGTCAACAGTATAATTTTTTAATTGCATGCAACCTATTTCCCCGTACCACCCAATATTCGAAATGTGTACTACCTATTTGTACTCCTTTATATCCAAATTGCTTGTATTCAAAAATGCTTACTGAAATCAATAATATTAATTATAATACCTATATTTACGTACAATCGGTCTTAATTGCACTTAACCCCTTTTATTCAACCCCTCTATCTCCCTACTATATGACCTCCCACTATTTCGCTATTAGACTACCTTCTTACTACTATATCCCCTATTTATTACGCTATACTTCATCGACCTTATAAATCCATTAGCAGTTCCCTATAGTCTAATCTAACGCTTATTAATTTAATTACTAATATTTGGAATATTGTTAGTGATGTGTAGAAGATGCTACCTATAGAGGGTAGAATCTAAACGGCCGTGAAGGTATTTTAGAATAATGGATTTAAGACTATAGTAAATATAGCGAAGGTATTTCGAGTTTTATATAAACAAATCGTAAGCCGCTATAAGGGGGTATAGCTAAAGTTAGAGAATAGGGGTAACTATACGCTATTAACTACAGAGGAGGATTTTATTATATATACTTAAATCAATATATAAATATCCGTCGGTTAATAGTCGATTATATAATTGTAAATTAAACTAATTACACTTTATAGGGATCGAAATAAATACCTAACATTTAGTTTTAATTGTAATTGCCTTAATAAAATTAAATTGTAACAATAGTAGCAATACCTTTATATTTCGTACTTTAACTATATAAATACAACGTTACTTATAAAGAGGTGTATTCTATAGTATATATATTAAATCTATAGTATAGGTTCGAAAGGTATTATAGACCAGACTAGACGTTGAGGAAGTCTTTTACTTATTTAATAATACTATTATTAAATATAATATTAAGCTAAATAATATTTAGAATAGTAATAAGTTCGGTTTTAGAGTTAGTATATGAACTAAAGCTTATTATATATAGATTTATATTAAGATAATTGAAGTCTAATTAGTTAATCCTAATTAGAGAGTTCTTATTATTATCCTTAAGGCTATTTCTACATTTAGTCGGACTATACCCCCCTTCGTTTTACTCCCTAGCGTTAATATTATAAATAAGTATATTGATAATTCACTTAAAAATAGAATAATTATTACCGCTTCTCTACAAGGTTATATAAATAATTAGTATGTATTGGATTAGTTTAAGTACTAGGAGGAGTACTTTCGTCCTATTAAAAAAGAGGAGAGGAGAGTTTAAGTATTAGATAATTATAGTAATCACTATACTATTGAATTTTACGAATAGTATAAGAGGAATTATATTACCCTTTTCCTCTTACCCCCTTATTTCATATACTTCCTTTAACCTCTTAATATTAGGATATTTTAGATTTATAAATACTTTTATTGAATTGATATACGCAAGAAGTTCGCTTTTAATAACGTCGATTATATTAAATTAGACTTTCTAGATAGCCTCAAACATATACGTAGGAAGGTAATAAAAAGAAAGAATATTTACTCTATTAAAAAACGTATTAGTTTGAATCCTTTTAACCCTAATTTAATACTCTTAAACCTTTATAATCCCTTAACCTTATTAACTAATAAATAGTATATTAAATAGAGGCGAGGGTATATTACTCGTCTTATAGAGTAAGGGATTATTAATTTTAGTTTTAAAAATGAAGTAATAGTATTTTATATACCAAGAGAGCCCGCCAACAGTATTAGTATACTAAGCAGCCCCCCCGTTGCAATTAATCCTACCCTAATAGAGCTATCTATATTAAAAAGCAAAGTCCATATTATTAAAGACTAAAATAGTATAGTAACCCCAATATTTAGCTTTCTTACTATTAAAGAGTATAGTAAATATATTAATTAACGGCTATCGTTTAAAATTAAGGGTAATTGCACCGTCTTACCTATAGTCTTATATATATTAATTAAGTAAAATAAGGCTAGTAATACTCTTAATCTAGTGGCCGTAAGAGAGGTTGAATTTAAGCGCAAATATAAAGAATAAGTAATAGAGGAAGTATTGTATAATTAACGAAATACTAACCGTTTATTAAAATATAGTAGTACTATTATTATTAGAAAAAGTCGATTACATATTGTAATAAACGAATACTATTATATAGCTCTCAATATAAAAGAGGACGAACGTATTTATACTCGAGAGTTTTAATAAGAGTAGACTACTTTGAGAGTATAGATTAGTAGATTTATTTCTATTTAAAAGATGTAGATAAGTAATAAGAAATTACAGTTACGGGTTTTTAAAACCTCTAGAAAAGAGATTAAAGAGTTTATAATATTATATAAGGTATAGTTTATTGATAGAGACTAGTTGGTTGGCAAATATCGTAAGAAGAGAATACGGTATTAGAATTACTTTTAATTATAATAAGAAATAATTATTAATAATGAGGTTGAGAAGTTAGGGGGTTAAAGGAGTGTACGTAATGTAATTCTCCCTCTATATTAGCAATTTCCCGGTAATCCCTTCAAACTATGTACTTTATAGGTATTTAATAAGTTAAGAAAGAAGGTTATAAACGAAATAATTATAATTTAGCCAACTAATAAGGGTATTATACTAGTAAAAGAGGAAGTAAATAAGCTTGAAATCATTAATAATAAACTAGTTAATACTTAAAAAGATCTAGACTAGTGACATCCCAACAATAGACAATAGGTATAAATAAATTAAGAAGATAAGGAGTATAAGGAGTATAATAATAATAATAATAATAACAATAATAATAATAACAATAATAATAATAATAATAATAATAATAATAATAATAAT